GCAGGGCGGCATCCACAATATCTGCAGCACCACAGAGTGAAGCTTCTTGTGGGTCACAGTCTGACACCTGCGTTGTAAGCTCATCTCTGCCTAAACCCCATTGATAAACATGTCCTTACACTACCCATGTCCTCTCAAACATGTCCTTTACCCATGTCCTCTCAAACATGTCCTTACACTACCCATGTCCTCTCAAACATGTCCTTACACTACCCATGTCCTCTCAAAACATGTCCTTACACTACCATGTCCTCTCAAACATGTCCTTACACTACCCATGTCCTCTCAAACATGTCCTTACACTACCCATGTCCTCTCAAACATGTCCTTACACTACATACGTCAACATGTCCTTACAGTGTCCTCTCAAATGTCCTTACACTACCCATGTCCTCAACATGTCCTTACACTACCCATGTCGACACACCCATGTCGTCCTGTCTCTCAAACATGTCGTCCTCTCAAACATGTCCTTACACTACCCATGTCGTCCTTTACCCATGTCCTCTCAACCTTACATGTCCTCTCAAACATGTCCTTACACTACCCATGTCCAAACATGTCGTCCTCTCAAGTCTGATGCGTGAAAGGTCTTTCTTGAGAGCGAGCGAAAGGACTACCCGTCATGAGCGATCGTTTCCAGGTACTTCAGTCTCGTATTCCCTGACATCCTGCGAAGCGAGGACACGTACGGCCTTCTCGTGAGGGAGCTCGTCTACGCCGGCGTGAGGGTCGAGGGCGTGATGAGGACTTCTCCGGCGGACTCGGCAGACGATGGGAAGCAGAGGCAGCTGGACGACCTCACCCGCAGAGCCCTGGAGTGCTACTTCGAGGCGTAAGTCGAGCTGATACGCTGTCGAGTCTGAATCATGCTTCGAATTGTGTTTCGGTTATATATTTCGAAGCATAGATTTTTTTTTTTTCGGGCAGCCAACGAGTACATGCTTTTAGGTTGTAAATTTGCCATCTGAAAATAGCAGTAACGCGAAGCTCAGGACATAACAAAAGTGAAACAAAGGACCAATGCATTTACTAGGATGTCAAGCAGGATACTGAGGATAGTTGAAACAGGCAGCCACCTAAATAAAAGTTCCTTATGCATTTACCTCAGTGTTCTGACAACTAATTCTATCTTACTTCCTTTTCTTGCATCAAATGATGTGTTGCTTTAAATGGAATCTGACCCTGGGTTTCACAACCAGCTGATTGACTTTATATTAATGATTTTGCGTCATTATCTCACCGTGTGCTGACCCGTCCATTCCTTCTGCGCAACAGGTTGAACGATGACATATGGCACCGGAAGCCTCTAGAAGCCCTGAGGTTGGTATTGGCATATTCTTGGTATTTCTCAAGAACAGGTCGAGGCTCACTTGTTTGGGTTTGCCGGACTTGCTGTTCTTACTTCCGCATCTTCCGTGCGCAGAAGCTGACCTTCTGCGAGCAAGGAAGAACAGCGCTCGCATAAACTCAAAAAAAAAAAAAAAAACGCGTTGATCAATGACGATGTTTACTGATATATGTTATGTGTATATATATATATATATATATATATATATATATATATATATATATATATATATATATATATATATATATATATATATATATATATAGTGTGTGTGTGTGTGTGTGTGTGTGTGTGTGTGTGTGTTGTGTGTTGTGTGTATTTGTACACATATATATATATATATATATATATATATATATATATATATATATATATATATATATATATATATATATATATATATATATATATATATATATATATATATATATATATATATTATATATATATATATATGAGTGTGTGTGCGTGTATGTATGTGTATGTCTGGGGTATTTTTTTTTTTATTTCACACAGCCATCCAACCTTGCAATTATCATTTTAATCCAAGCATTCACGATGTACGAAGCGAGAATCTGTTGTTTTCCATCGCAATTAAATCGTTCTTTCCATCGCAAGCAAAAAGCCTCTTACCGACTGGCTGTGTGAAACCTTTTTTTTTTTTTTTTTTTTTTTAAGAAAAAGTCAACACATCACATAGGTTTAGCCACTTTGTAATTTCTCAAATGAATGGATTGTATCAAAAAAAAAAAAAAAAAAAAAAAAAAATCCCCTTTCCTGGTGACTATGCTAATCATTCTCATTTTCATCATTTATTTCAGTCTATAAAATTTGTTCCTATGAAGTATCAAGCCATCTGCATTAATCAATAGGTTGGTGCATTTAGTTCTAAACACTTATGAAGTGACTCGCACGTCTTATCTTGTTGCAGAGACTTCAACAGGATGCGCCATGAAGAGCATTTCCTCTGAGAACTTCTCCACAACTTCCCCCACTGATCAGCCAGAAGCCAAGCAAAGATGTTAAAAAGAGAAAACGTTTGGTCTCGAAAACGTTTGCGACTCCTGAGGTCTTTGGGTTCATCGTGCAGTGTTTATTGATTGTACATTCTTCTTTATTGCTAAGACACTGACGTAAATAATGCAATGT